TTTGTTTAAGTTTTGGATAATCCAGGGTGCATTCATATTTCAGTGTTATATCTTCCAACCTTTGTTAAAACACTTCCAAGATATTTAAATGTGTTTGATTTTGACAGCTCCAATTTGGAGTTTGTATCCTGGCCTATTTCTCTTGCTGACAATCATACTTTTTGCTTTCTTACATTTGATGCGTAGTCCTTTCTTCTCACTTTCCTTTACTACTATGTCTAGGAGGTAAGCAGGATCAGCATGTACTACCCCAAACTCCCTAATTGGAGTGGGGAGCCTGATTGGGGGCCTCAGGTAGTGCTTTGGGATCCTTGTTATATAGATTACAAATTAAACTAATTATTTTAATATATTTTCTGTTTATATGTTATATTTATAGATACAGATATTTAAGTAAATGCTCTGTTTGTAATAATTGTTGGTCTTAGTCCATTTCATAATATATGATGTCATTTGTTTATATTGTTATGCATTGATCAAATATGGGCATTTGAGAGAAATCATGGGAAATTCGTAGTTTAAAAACAGTAATTCTAACCTTGCTAACCAGATGCTTCCTCTAGCTAAATGTTATAGCACGTCAGGCTATATGATGGTTTCGTGTAGGATACAGGTTTGATTCCTGTCGGAGGACACATTTTCTATGAGATTTCTTGGACATTCAGGCCAGTAAATGTTGTTAATACTGTTTATTATTAACAGAGCATCTTCTTAAATATTTGTATCTATAAAAATAATGTATATACAGAAAATATATTAAAATAATTGTCGGACTTAGTCCCTTTCGTAAATTAAACTAAGCACAATTGACTATTTAAGGATGAAAAATTTTCATGGATTTTGACATCATTTTGAGGTCTTTTTTTTTTCTTTTTCTTCTTTTCATTCAAATCCATGAATTTCTTTTGCTCATACTAAGTCTCGAACAAACACTATGTAAAATTAATTATTTTTTCATCCACATGTGTTAAATTATTCAACTTTTTAACAAGAAAAATGTCAAGTTGATGTTAAAAATTGCAGCAAAACATTAAGCTGGAAAGATCTATTATGACGTGTCTCTAATTGTTATTTAGATACATTTTATTTATTTTCAATTTTTCCAGATGAATTGTTCACCTATATTGTATATGATTAGGCTACGATAAAATTTGTATTTTATATGAATACAACCTCATGAAAATTGAGATGTAGTAGAGTGGTTGGAGGTGCACGAAGACATTGCACCGACCTTTTCTATAACTTTTCTTTCTGTGTCTACCATCAACACGGTATCATATGCATATCTTATATTGTTAATATTACACCCACCTATGATAAATCCTGGTAGAATCTCCAGTTCCCTTAGGATAGCACCTCACTGTAAAATTTGAACAAATCTGGGGAGAAGACACATACTTGTCTTACACATTCTATTTTTGCATACCTACTTAATTCATTTTCTATCTGTATACAAACAGTTTGGTCCCAATGTAAATTCTGGATTATTCTAACATCCTCCCCAAATAGCTCTTCCATGTACTGTGTCTCTTCAAGATGTAGGCAATTATGGCTTTCCACAATTTCCTGTCCTTTGTAGCTTTTAGTAAAACATATCTTTTTGCTATCTCTCGTAATCTCTGTTCTGCCAACCATTACACCAGCTTATTAAGTAGGTACTTCTTTTCTTGCTTTCAATATCTCCTGTGTGTGTCAAATTTTCTAAGCCCTCTTTCCTCGTGTGCCTTAGAAATTTCAACTCTTTCTGATGCTAAGTATAAGTGTTGTCTATTTCTTTTTATTTTTCTCTAAAAGTTTGTCATTGCTTGGTATTCTCAGCATCCTTCTGTAGAACCAGAAATTGGTTGCCTGAAGTTTCTTCTTTATATTTCAGCATTCATTACCATATAGGAGGACTGATATTACATAACTCTTTTCTTTGTTTCTAAATACTTTACTTAACTTTTGAAAGGCATATTTTGCTATCCCAATGCAACTTTGGATTTTGGTGTCACACTTTCCATCTTATGTTAAAACACTTCCTAGATATTGTGGAAAAATAAGTGAAATTAACCTGCATATGTGTAGGTTGTGGTCAGATGTGGGATGTGGCGTGTTTGCTATGCTGGTTTTCCAATGTGAGGCTGAGCTCTGGTTTTTGTAATGGTTTTACCGCAAAACGTGGGATGCAAAGGTCTGCCACTTTTTACTTAAGGCCTTCCTTCCCTCCCTTTAGGTAAAACACAAGTTTAATGGCATATGCATTCTATACACAGTAAACTGAATGTGTAATCAACAGATTCTGGCTTGAAATCCTGAAAACTTATTCTTTGAGTTTGCTTTCTTCTTCTATGATCATGATCAGAGCTCTCCACTATTTCCTGTCCTTTGTAGTGTGGAAAAATAAGTGAAATTACCTGTGTGTGAGGGGTGCAGTCAGATGATCGAGGCAGAGTGTTTGCTATCTGGCTTTTCAATGCGAGGCTGCTCCAAACTCTGGTTTTTGTAATCGTTTTACTAGAAGTGGTGGGATATGCAGGTCTACCACCTTGTTACTTGAGAACTGAGTTGTTCTGCGAGCTCTCGTCTTCTCACATAGTTAACTGATCACAATTTGGATTTGGGTTGCAAGATAGGCAGTGTTTCACAACACTTACTGTACCGAACAGGTTTCTAGCTACCCCTATAGTCAAAAGAAATTCTTGACAATATTTAAATTTTTATACTTGCTTGATTTTGATATCTCCCCTTTTTAATTTGCATGTTGGGCTGTTTCTTTTGTTGACAACTACATTCTTTATTCTTGCAATTGATGTTTAGTCCTTTCTTCATGCTTTCCTTTGCAACCTTCTGTAAGAGTTCCTGTGGTTTCCTTTCTGTGTCTGTTATCAACACCATGTCATCTTATGTTATTAAGATAGTGGTTACCAATAATAAATCTGGGTAGGATTCCTAATCTTCTCGGGCTTGCTTAACTATCAAGGTTAAATAAGTCTTGTGAGAGGACATGTCCTTGTCTTACACCCTTTTCTATTTTTGTATAGTTATTTACAGATTGTGACATCTATCAGAGAGATGAAATTTAAATTTTTATTATCGCATTATTCCAAAATTTTAACACATAGGCAGATAGCTATTAATGTCAACAACTAAACACAAATAGTTATTAATTAAAAAAAATTAGTAATTAATGTATATTATCTATAACTACATGTACAAGAATCTCGTTTTTGATAAAAGTTAAAAAAATAACCATAAATATGTAAAAAATGCATATATTGTTGAAAATTCTTTTTTCCACAATATAGATATTTGTGCTATATTATAATGCTTATTACCTAAACAATAATAATACTGGATAATTTTTTTTTTAAATATTAAAGTGTATTTAATCACATCTCCCTAATAGCTATCGCGACCTGTTAATTCATTTTCTATCTGTATACAAGTGGTTCCCTCCCAGTATAAATTTTGGATTATTCTAATATCCTTCCGAAATATATCAGGCTTAACTAGCACTTCCAACAGTTTCTAAATAGATCTTCTTCTTTATGCACCATGTCCCTTCAGGATGTAGGTGATCATGACTCTCCACAATTTCCTGTCCTTCATAGATCTTAATAAATTTTATCTTTTTGTTATTTCTTTTAGACCTTGTTCCACTATCCATTTACACAAGCTCACTAAGTAGGCTATGTATTGTTTTCCTGTCTCTCTGACCTTGAATCTGTCCTGTGAGTATCAGATTTTCCAAGCCCTCTTTCCTCATTATCTGCCCTATAATTTTCAACTTCCTGATGTTAAGTATGTTTCCTTTTTGTTTTGCTAAAACTTAAATCAACTTTAATGATGATATATATAGCAACACAGAAAATTCCAGCATAGAGGAGGTGAATGATGACAGGGTAACCATATTTGTTTTTTATCACTGACTACATTTGAACCTGGTATATGTGGGTGGGGATTTTTGTTTTTCTTCTCACCGATTTTACTATTACTTTTCCTTCTGCTCGTGTATGTAGCTGGTATTATTGTGGTCACGTGTTCTAAGTTTGAGCTTGATCACACTAGTTTTTCTTTTCACTGTTACAGTGTAAACATGGCTGCTCTACTAGCAGTGTGCACCAAGGAGGAACAAAGAACAGTGATCTGATTTCTCTGATCAGAATGTGTGTCAGGGGCTGAAATTCATCAGAAGCTTTTAACACAATACAACGGCAATGCACTTCTGTGTGGAAGTGTGTATGAGTGGATTGAGAAGTTTAAAAGTGGCCAGACGAGCATTAGTATGTGCAGGACACCCATTAACTTTCATCACTATGAGAAGACTCCCAAGTTCAAGAGATGGTAATGGCAAACTAGCAAGCTATCATCAGTACCGTAGCATGTTCTCCAGAAAATGGAGTTGCTAAATTATTGCTTACCATCCTTGAAAATGTTCAAAATCCTGTACACAGTCTCACAAGATATGGGGTACCTATTTTCCATTTGCAACCTCCTTTTGCTACTACTATTGCCATTTCTGTGGCAAATGTTCAAATGATCTCCATTCTTTAGCTCTACCAGAGTCAGATGATCTTTTCATTTCCTTTGAATGTAAGAAAGAGCCACTCACACAGCTTTTCCCTCAAGAACTACTACTTTGTAGGACAGATCCTCATTGCCGCTTTCTTGAACTCTTTATTCTTAACCTCTTCAAGAGTCAGTCATTATCTATCCTCATAATTTTCACTTCGTACCACTTTCTCTTTCATTCATATCATGCACTTCATTCACCATTACCGTTTCAATTGAACCTTTTTACCTTGGGTGGCTCTCAAGTCTTATAGTGAGTGAAACTGAATGCTTTAAAAAAAAATTCACAAAATCTAACCAAACAAGGTTTTTGTTTAATTTATTCATTTTTTTTCTGTCTCCTGCTCCAGGGCTTCTTGGTCAGGCTGAGAACTTTTCAGAAACCCACATAAAAGATAATGATAATGTTCTTTCTTCAATGATTTGTTTTCATTTCTTTCTTTTAGGATTGAAAAGTACCGTCCCAAGAAACTGGATGATCTCATTTCTCACAAAGACATCATCAACACAAGTGAGTTCCAGATAGATTTTTATTTTTTTTTTTTTTTTTGGTGTTATGTCTCCAGACTTAATCTCTCAGTGTGGCTGAGAATATACAACAGACTACATCCCTGAAGAGCGGTAGGGCTCTAAAACTGGCCACCTATCATGGAAATACATGCAGATTTGAATATGAACAACCAATGTTTACCTATAAACTCAAGTGTGATATAAAAAAAAAGAAAGAAAGACTTTGACAGTAAATAACCCAACAGGTGTTGATCTGTCAGAAATCCACAAATCCAACAACTGTTTAACTATTGACTAAAGTATAATAAACAGAGTATTTTATTTAGTATTAAGCCAGTTTTATTTCATCTTTAGTTAAGTAATTGATCATTTAGCCAGAGGATTTGACATTATAATAGGAAATTGTTGCAGCATTAGTACCTTGCAGTTTTCAAACACCCTATTTAAGATTTAGATATTTAATTCTAAATTTTTTTTTTTTTTTTTTTTTTTTTTTGCAATATATTGTCTTGAATGTTCTTGCTGGATTTTAAAAGTAAAAAATCTATATGAAAATCAAAATTTATAGGATTGTTAACAATCAGCAATTAAAACAAATATTACAAACAAAATACAGCAATTATATGTATAATGTAAATGAATTGAAAATACGGAAGAAAAAGATTGCCAGTGGCCAGGAATTAAGGCAAGCAATACAAACAGTATACAGCCATTATATGTATAATGTAAATGCATTGCTAAGGATTTTTACTATAGAAATGCATTGAAAATCAGAATTTCTTCTGAAAAGAATTTTTTCCTGTTTTTTCAGGTTGCAGGCAGTCATGGTCCTCCAAAGCTTCCTCTTCTTTCTTATCTCTGATTTGCTATGCATTCTTGGAAAATATTGCAGAATGAATTTGTTGCATTCTCCACAGCTTGAAATTCAATTTTCCTTCTCTTAAATTGGTTGCCATCATAAAACTAATAAGCTAAGTCTACCATCCTATTTAACTTATAGCTGGAGATGGGAGAACTAATTACTGACTAAATAAGCCTATATCAGATGTATAATTTTAGTATAAGTATAGTAAGGGGTTTAATCCCTGAAAGTATTGGAATTTTAATATTCCTTGGAAAGAGTAAGAAAATGCATTTCAATTGAATTCTTGAAACTTAGAAAACTTTATCAATCTCAAATATGATCTACATTCAAAAAGAGGTTGAATTTTTTTTTCCTTTGTGTTTTTGGTGTTGCAGTTATATGTTTTAAAAAAAAAGAAAAAATTTGTGTGTTCCCTCCAACTCAAAATTAATTATTCTTCTACTGTTCTTAACCAACAGTTTCACTTTAATTTCTCAAAAATGTTTGTTGACCTTGCAATTAACCAAACTCTAAAAGATTGTTTTATCTTTTTCTGTCTTTAGTCAGTAAGTTTGTGAAAGAAGACCGACTTCCACACTTATTGTTTTATGGGCCTCCAGGAACTGGAAAGACGAGTACAATTCTTGCTGTGGCTAGGCAGATTTACTCACCAAAGGAATTTGGATCCATGGTCCTTGAAGTAAGAAAAAGTTATCTAATCCACTTGTATAAAACACTGTGTGCATATCTACCTATAGGCAAAATTGTCTATGTTCCTTATTAGCTTTTTATTTAGTGGGTACATATTTATAAATTTATAAACATTTACTAAATTATTAAAATATGTGAACCAACTATAAAGAAATTCTTATTATTTACCATTTTGTAAAGTTTGAATCAATTGGCAATTAGCTGATGTTTTGCCAACCAATTCCAATAAACAATATAAGTGTTTATTATTTTTGTTGTCAATTGAATGTATAAATTCACTTTCATTATATATTTAGGTTTTATTACAATTCTAATTATTGCTCTTTAAAACAAACATTGCTTGAGGAGTGGAAGTAGTTATAATAATAGCAGTGTCAAGGAAAAAAAACCTTTTTGCCAAAATCAGAGATTATATAAATAATTGGTTTGTTACAGTAATCCTTATTCATCTATCTTTAGACTTTGTGATGAATACTTCCACTCTGAATTAAATTTGTCTTGTTACAGTGAAAGTGAACTATAATTCTTTCATGGCATTTGGTAATTTTTTTTTTTTTTTTCCTTATCTTTCATTGTTTAGCTCAATGCTTCCGATGATCGAGGTATTGGGATAGTCCGACAAAATATCTTGAGTTTTGCAAGCACCAGAACAATTTTCAAGTAAGTATCTTCTCTTTTGTAAAGGTTTTAGTGATAATAAAATAGATATATTTTTGAAAATCATTAAGTCTCCTTGTTAAGGATAAAATGCAGGGTAGGGTTAGAACTACAATCTCAGCAGGTACTATTTGGTATCCAGTAATTTTCTACATTTTAATGTTTCTTTTACCTCATTATTTCCAGCAGAATAACTTGTATCAAAAGGTGAGTGGTATCCAAATATACAATTGCTGGCTTGATTATTTTCTTAGAAATCTCTCTCAAATTTAATATTCAGGTGATTTGGCATTTTGGTAGAAACGACGACTTCTTAGTCAACATTATGTGCATAATGTGTACTTTTTATTCAATCTATGGAGGCAGACTGTTTTCATTTCAATTCATTGTACATACTAGGAAACATTTTGTGCGGGTCAATCCTTAAATAATTCCTCATGTCAGAAATAGGTTAAATGTTACGTTTATAACAACCAAAATAAAGATATTAGTACAAATAAATTGTCTATAATAATGATAATTCTTCAACCTCTGTCTATATTTCTGAGATGAGGTATTGTAAATATTTGCACTGTTCAGACTGTTGTCTTCATCTTTATCGCCATATTCACAACATTTTGTCGGGAGTATACAACAACCAAAATGTCATGAATATGCCAACAAAGATGAGGACAACACTGTAAATAGAGTAAGTTGATAATTCTTCATATCAGAAATAGGTAAAATGCTATGACTATAACAACAAGATAAGGATATTAGTCCAAATAAATCAGTGTATTATAATGATCCCTTTTCATTGGCTTTTTTTTTTCTTTTTCTTTTTTCAGATCTGGTTTCAAGTTGGTCATCCTTGATGAAGCAGATGCAATGACACAGGATGCTCAAAATGCTCTTAGAAGAGGTCACTTGATAGTCATTTATTGATTTGCTGGACTCGGGCGGGGGGGGGAATTTCCTGGGTGTTGCCAATTAAGATTACACATTATCTCTCACCTCTGCTTTAACAGTTTGCTTGTATCTTGAGGGTGGCCATTGGTCAGGGGCAAATCAAAATTATGTCAGATTTTATATATTTTTCTCAAAAGTCAGATACATTTGAGATGTTGCACAGAATTAATTTAAGACTTTATTATTTGTTAGAAAATGGTGTTGCGTTAGGAAATTGAGTCACCTTTTGTAGAATCTGGTACTGCCCCTCTGAACTGATTCATTGAATATTATTTCATTGAGTTTGGTACTGGTTCAATGAACTGGTTTATTGTAGAGTCTAATATTTGTTCATTGAATAACATTTTGTAGAGTTAATTGGTTCATTGTAGAGTCTGATACTGGTTCATTGAATAACATTTTGTAGAGTTAATTGGTTCATTGTAGAGTCTGATACTGGTTCATTGAATAACATTTTGTAGAGTTAATTGGTTCATTGTAGAGTCTGATACTGGTTCATTGAATAACATTTTGTAGAGTTAATTGGTTCATTGTAGAGTCTGATACTGGTTCATTGAATAACATTTTGTAGAGTTAATTGGTTCATTGTAGAGTCTGATACTGGTTCATTGAATAACATTTGTAGAGTTAATTGGTTCATTGTAGAGTCTGATACTGGTTCATTGAATAACATTTTGTAGAGTTAATTGGTTCATTGTAGAGTCTGATACTGGTTCATTGAATAACATTTTGTAGAGTTAATTGGTTCATTGTAGAGTCTGATACTGGTTCATTGAATAACATTTTGTAGAGTTAATTGGTTCATTGTAGAGTCTGATACTGGTTCAGTGAATAACCTTATATTGTCTGATAATGGTTCAATTGTTTACTGATTAATACCCTATAGAATATGAGATTGAACTGCTAAAATAGTTGATTGGGGCTCTGTAGAGTCAGTGACATGTTTAATCAACTCAGTTGTTGAACCTGGGTTTTAATCAAAGAGAATCTCTTCAAACTAATTTTTCTCACTTTCTCTATGTTCTTTGTGAGTTTTCCTCGGGGGTGCCACATACCTAACATTGATGAATTTGCTGTGATCATTTCATGTTTCCTAGTCAAAGAATTTTATGTTGGTGTCTGAGTAGCCACTCCTCATTCTCACCCTTCCCTTACCAGTCTTTGTTGTCTCTTCTCTCTCTCTCTCTGCTTTTGTGTAAATCTTATACAAACATGGACTAATTTTATATGGAGAAGAAAAAGAATGAGGAATGTAGAAATATTTTCTATTACATATTCTTGTATCTATCTTTTCTTCTCTCTCTACATAGAATTTTAATATATATATATATATATATATATTTATATAAAAAGAAAGAACAGTAAGATATATAATCCGGTGTTCTTATAGATATTTTTATTTTTACAAAATAGTGCTCAATGTAAATTTACAGAGCATTAATATTATAAATTGATTTATTTAAAATATGGTTTTTTTCGCTACACAGTTCTAACCATGTTTCAAAAATGGAAGCTAAAAGCTACGAATTTAATTTTGTAATTACATTAAAGACATTAGTTCCATTTCATCCTCAAGCGAATTTTGGAGTAACTTTTAAAATTACTGGGTTTTAAAGACACAGCTAAAATCCTAATTCACGTTTCCAAGGTTACAGATAAATCTACTTCAACTGGACAAGGGGTGTCTGGGTGTTCATTATGTCTGTATTATTGTATCCGTTTTTTAGTTACGTTTTTAGTAAGGGGTAGGGATGTATTTTTCAATGAAATCTGACATCCGTTGAATGCATGTCGTCTGGATTTTTGAAAAAATTTATTGTTAACGGCAAAAAATTCTTATGGCATTTTTTTTCTATTTGTAAATTTAAAGATTTTTGGGGGTGTTTAGGTTAGAATACGTTTTATTTAACTATGATTTGAAATATTTTCATTTTTAATTTTTATTATACTATATTTTTTAAGAACAATTAAATGTATTAGAATCCCTTATAGTATGTAGAATTATTTTTACATCAAGTATAAGTATGTATATTAGGTTACAAATTTTTTTTTTTTTTTTTGTATTTAAATATTATTTAAGTAAAATTTATGACAATGACGGCAAAAATAGTTACTTAATTTCACTGATTTAGTAAACTTTTATTTTTTATATAAACCTAGTAATATATTGTTTCTCATGTAAGTACAAAGGACATGGGTCATTCAAAAGCTTACATCTTGCATTTCATATCATTTTTTTTTTTTTACTGTATGTGTTTTATTGGATTCTTTTAAGTGTGTGTAGTACTAAGTAAAAGAAGTTTAGGTTAGAATTCATTTTATTTAACTACAATTTTAATTACAACTTTAAAATATTTTCATTGTTAGTTTTAATAGACTATATTACTTTATAATAGAAGGAAATATATTAGAATTACTTATAGCAAGTAAAATTATTTTTCCATATCAAGTATATGTATATTACGATTTTTAAACTTTTATATTTAAATATTATTTAAATAATATTTATGGCACTTACTGCAAAAATAGCTAATTCATTTCTCTGATTTAGTAAACTTTATTTATTTATTTATTTTATATATATAAACTTAGTAATAAAGTTTCATATGTATGTACATAGGACATGGGTCATTCAATGGCCTACATCATCTAGCTTTTTTTTTTTTGGGGGGTATTGTCAATGAGAAAAAGTGCCACAAAAAAATTTCACTCTGCCAGATCTCTGAAAACAGCATGCTGTACTGCTTGGTATTCATGCTGGAAACTCAAACATTTCAGTGTTTGGGTGTCAATCTGATGACAGTGCAGAGGATTCGAAAAGAGTTGGTCGAGTCCATGAATCTCGTACATTCATAACTGCTCTGGCATATCAAATGTAAACAAATGACGTCATATATTAAGAAATGGAAGATTGAAGTTTATAAGCAGTAAATTCGACCTTGCCTACCGAACGCTCCTTTGTGGCCGAGAGGTTAGGCACGTCAGCGTAAATGACGGTTCCGTATAGGATGCAGGTTCGAATCCTGTCAAAGGACGAATATTTTCTATGAAAATTTCTCGGACATTCAGGCCGGTAAATGTTATTTAATACTGTTTATTATAAACAGCATTTAAATACTTGTATCTATAAAAAAGAACGTTAAACATAAAAATGTCTTTAATAAATATAATAATGTGTGTGTACCTTTTTTATGTATTTGAATTATAATCAATTATTTTGCCTTTTTATATATCCAGATTAATATTAAAATGGATAATTTGAAGTTTATAGCAACTGAATATAGTATATTTTTACAAATTGTACCTTTGCCCTGTAAGTAATTTTCTATGTGGTTTTAATCTTGCTGTTTTCTTTTGCATTGTTTGCAGTGATAGAAAAATTCACAGAGAACACTCGCTTTTGCATCATTTGCAATTACCTGTCCAAGATTATTCCTGCCTTACAGTCTCGTTGTACCCGATTTCGGTTTGGTCCTCTGAGTAAGGATCAGATGATACCTCGATTAAAACACGTCATTGAAGAAGAAGGGTAAGTCTTTTTTTTTTTTTTTTTTATCTGGGAAGTAAGTTACTTTGGATCTGTCTGCCTTATGCCAATTTTTGTTCTTGCACAATTATCTCCCTTAGTAACAAAAGTCAAACAAAATTTTTAATCTGAGCTAGTTATGACATGTAGCACAAGGCCGAAAGTATGGGGCACCCAGTGAGGATCGAACTCATTATTCAGTTGTAATTGATCTAACATGACAAGCTAACTAACCATTACACCACATTTGGGCCAGCGATGTAGGGATAATAAAACAATAAATATTTCTAAATAATAAAGCATATAATATTAATTCCTCATCTCAAAATTCCAACATTGTTTAATGTCTGAATTTCCATTGTTACACTGGTAAGATGCTCGGTTGCTTTGAGTAGCACTAATTATGCCTCGTGTTGGTATTTACCAACCTCTGCATGAAAGTAGGATATGATAAACAATCGTTTTTTTTTTAATGTAGGTTGCCATATATACAGATAAAAATTTCTCGGTCTTTGAAACCATTGTGAAGCTGGCATTGATATCCACCAACCCTCTCTCTTTCACGCAGTGATGAAGGTATTGAAATCTACCAACCCTCTTTTTATAGTGAAATGAGGAAGGGGCTGATGGAGATTTAGAATTCCCAGGACTCTGTGTCTTCATGGGATTAAGAGGAACCAGAACAGATACTATACCACCATCCCAGCTTTTGGGCTGGGGTAGGAGAATGCTTTGTGTTACCATAATAATGAATTTTCTTATAACTTGTAGTTTACCAAACCTTATTCAACAGGCAGGTCTATTGTTATGGGCCTGAGAAACAAGTCACACTATTCATAATCTATGATTTATTTTTGCATCGTTCTTTTTATAAACATGTTACTCTGACCAATCAAGCTTTTCTTTTTCAATTCCTTTTCTTTTTCAATTCCTTTTCTTTTTCAATTCCTTTTCTTTTTCAATTCCTTTTCTTTTTCAATTCCTTTTCTTTTTTGTTTCTGTTACCTTGTTTTATATAAATGTCTGAAATGTTCTCAATCAATTTGTTTCAGAGTGACTATTACACCTGAGGGAATGAATGCCATTGTCACGTTAGCGTGTGGAGATATGAGACAGTCTCTTAATATTCTACAGGTTTGTATCCCTTCTTGAACAAACAACTGCAGTCCTATCTATACATAGATTTAAGAAGGCATGTGGCTGAGTGGTTAGAATGTTAGCATTCCAAACTATGACCTGGGTTTGAATCTAACCATGGTGATTATAAAGCAGACCTGTGTTTAACTACAGGCTCTCATATTAACACTGGTCCATGTTTGGCTACGGGCTGATATAACCCTGGCCTATGTTTGGCTATGGGCTCGGGCATAGACCTGGCTGGTGTTTGGCTACAAGCTTGGGCATAAGCCTGATGTTTTTTGTTTTTTTTTACGGCCTCCACGAAAAAAAAACATATTTGACATTAAATAACGCATATTATAAAATTTGTCAACTCCTTTCACCAGTAGCTATTTTGTTAAAAGAAAATGAATTTACCTGTGGTAATGCTGACAAATGTCCATTTCCAGAAGTTTATATGAAAGTCCTTTTCATAGCTTATTTTTTCCTATAGCTTGTAGATGTGACATATGACACTTAATTGATTTCACAAGCATTAAAAAAAAAATGCAGTCAATTTTAGGGCAACTTTTACAATAAATCTGACACTAAATTTGTATAAGTTTTTATTACTATTTTGCTCTTGGAACCTTTTTTTTTGTCTTATTTATTTTTATTTATTTATTTTTTTCAGAGTGCTTCAATGGCTTTTGACAATGTGACGGAAGATAATGTTTACATATGTGTGGGTCATCCATTACGCAAAGATATAGAGAATATAATACAGTGGCTGCTGAATACCAGCTTTCATGAAGCATACAACAGTATCCTTTCACTTCTTATCTTATTATTTACCTGTTTAAAAACCACCCTATTAGGTGGCATTTAAGTTAGCTCCTGCAAAGAACTCTTGATTGGGCTTTCATCACAATAGGTAGGGAGGAGAAGATGCAATAGGCAACAATAAACTACAGAAGAACTCAGAATTGATCACTGCATTAAAGTATTGCATTAAAGTTTAAGCTTCCTTTTAAAAATTCAACAATAATTCTTCTGCCGCCACTTAATTTAAAGACAATTTGATGTACGTAGGTCCTTACTTTCCATACAAAATTATTTTTAATTCATAGGTGACTTTCACTGGATTTTGATATTATTTTGATTATTCCCAAATTTATTTCCAAGTTATAAAATTCTTATCCTCCAAAAAAATTTGTCCCAAAAAATCACGTAAAAAAAAAAATCACTGAAAACAACCGCAGTAATGAAAATTTGGGAATGCAAAATTTCAGAATTGCAGGTCTGAATCCAGCCCAGAATGTTTTTAATTTGCTCACAGTCAGCCTGATTCCAAAATGGTATATGTTGGCCTAAGGTAAAGTTGAAAAAGGGTAACATATAAAAAATATTTTGTGTTGTTAATCATATCAAACCCCAACATTCAAATTGAATGCAATGCCACAGTTCCAAAATTGGCCTGCCCTAATACATCACAGCTACTTTAATTGCTAGATTATCCACAGGAAATTTGCATTCAGGTTCTTACAACATTTCACCATTCTTGGCAGGTTTTCTGCTATCACAATGTGGAATATTTAATAACAAAGATGATGGAAAGAAAAAGAATATAAATGAAATTGGCTAGACTATATACTCAAAATACATTTTATATATATATATATATCTCAATTTATTATATATATATATATATATATATATATCTCAATTTATTATATATATATATATATATATATCTATCAATTTATTTATATATATATCTATCAATATATATATATATATCTATCAATTTATATATATATATATATGTATCTATCAATTTATTATATATATATATATGTATCTATCAATTTATTATATATATATATATATATATGTATCTATCAATTTATATATATATATATATATATGTATCTATCAATTTATTATATATATATATATATATATGTATATATCAATTTATATATATATATATATATATATGTATCTATCATTATTTATATATATATATATATATATATATATATATATATGAGAGAGATGTTTTGTCTACTTATTTTCAATTGGATCCTTTTAGATATACTGATAAACACTAATAACAATAAGTTCACTATCTCCCCATATAAAAAAAAAACTTACCAGCATAAATTCTTGTACCATTAATTATAAGAGTGAATGTCCAAATTACTACAGAATAACAATTATAAAAACAATAAACTGTGCAAAAATTAATTCATCCTCAAAACAGATTTTCTACAGTGAACTAAAAAATATAAAATAAACTCTTATTAATAATAACTTCCTTAACTATATTGTTGATGAACAAATAAGATGATCCATCAGAGACTTGTATACTAAACAAATAAAATATAATACTTCTACAACTAATCCTAAACACATCAATCTTTTATATCGTAACCAAATATATTCTGATTATAAAGAAGACGAAAATATCCTTAAAAAATAAATAAATACTAATATATCCACCACAGATCCTAGCAAAAAAATAAAATTAATTACATACTACACTAAATCTAATCTAATACAATCATTCATAATGACTCTTTCTTACTCACTAATGTGTTGCAGAAAACCAACATTGTTTATAAATTTAAATGTCCTCTGGGAGATTGTATCTCCAACGGTAAAAATGATATTTATGTTGGACACACTACAACAATGTTGTCTCGGTGGCTAAGTTTTCATTTGGATAATATGTCCAACATTTCTAAACATTTACAGCAGCATATCTGTCCACATTTGTCATTCAGAAAAATTCTTGTTGAAAATACTTATGTATATTTTTCATGAAAATAAACATAAACTAAAAATTCTTGAAGTTATCTGTATTAAAAAACTGAAACCAAACCTAAATAAAATTAATTATGAATACTCCACAGATGTTTTAAAATGTGTACAATAGTTTGAAATGCCAAGGTTTGCACTGATAGATTTTTTTACTACTTATTTCATAAAAAACTCTCCACAACCAGACTTAGTTACCCCCCTTTAAATGGTGTCAGCGATCACGTACTGACTCAACATTCCTCACTCCACATGTAAGAAATTTAACTTTCAGATGAACACAACAATTTTATCTTTGACAATAATGAACACTACAATATTTGTCTTGCAATAAACAATACCCTGATGATAAAATTGTGCTATGGTCAAAGTACTCGGAATAAAAGAAATATGTATCAACATTGTGATTTTCTCTTATCCTTCAATAACTGTGCCAAAAAGCTTATCCCTGAATATGAAAAGATCCATTTGAAAATAAGTAGACAGAACATATCTAAATTATTCATCAAAACATGCCTCAATGAAAACATGCAGCCAAAATATACGCGCATATATATATATATATATATATATATATATATTCACATCCACATTTTTGCTTAAAAAAAGCATACCATGATGAAAAAGGCTCCAAACTTGATTTGATGAAAACAAAATTTTATTGGCAAAATGTTTATCATTAAGAGAAAAAAATCTAAGTATATTTTTATTATAAATTTTTCAATCCTTTCTAGCATGCTAAAATTTTTGGCCAAAATCTTGTTTTTCTTGAATCTGCGAGTGGCCCAAAGATTACTGTGGGAATTTTAGTGTTGTTTTGGCGTTAAAAACAGTTTTGCAAAAATCAAATAATTGTCATATTTTAATGAAATTTTAAGGACTTATTCACAAATAAATTATTTTTGAGATTTTCTTTTAGAAAATCTTGCTAAAAATTTTTTTTTTTTTTTTTTTTTGCATCTGTTACCCCCACTTACATACTTTTATAAAATTTCAACCTCTTCATATTTATTATCATTAGTACAATTTTTCTCCTTGACAACTGTCCTGATATCCTCAAATTGAAAACTACTAAGGGTTTAGCATTACAAGACATACTAACAGAGGTTCACCAATATGTACATCGAAGTGAGTATAATTTTATTTTTATCCTATTATAATAGTGCTTCTTCCTCCTTAAGTTAATTCTCACAACTGTTACACCCTGCCAATACCTCATGAATAATGGACTATTGCATTTTGATCATGTGGAAAGAGGGGAAAAGACATGACTCTGTTTCAATGAGAAAATGAAAAAGAAATAAGGAGAAATAGAAGTGTTTAATGTTTCCAGCCAATACCTCAGAAATAATGGACTATTCCATTTTGGTAGCATGGAAAAGACACTACTTTCTACAGTGAGAAAATGAATGAATGAAAGTGAAAAAGAATGAAGGGAAGATAGCAGTGTTTATGATCTGTTTTGGTAAAATGAAAAAAGTTGTCAATTTCAAATCTTTTCATTTGTACCCCCTTACTTCTTAAAATAACAGCCAGCATTCATATTTAGGATTGTTATTGTAATATTTTGTGAAAGTTGTTAATCTCAAATATTTAATAATATGATAGGAGAAAGTCTACAGATATTTTATTGTCATAAACTTGCCATGAGCATATTCAATCATTAACTTAAGAATTAAGATTTATCAGAAAATTAAATTAGGAAAAATATGAAATTTTCATAGGCTAAAATTAGTTATTACTAGTTGGAACTATAAAAATTCCATAAGTATTGGTAACTAAGATTATCTCTGCCATTGCCTGTAAATTCACATTTTCTCCTACATCCTGTACCTTCTCACCTCCTTCCACATCCTGTACCTTCTCACCTTCTTCCACATCCTGTACCTTCTCACCTCCTCCACATCCTGTACCTTCTCACCTCCTTCTCCCTCCTCATCCCTGCTCTGTACCTTCTCACCTCCTTCCACATCCTGTACCTTCTCATCTCCTTCTGCGCTCTGTACCTTCTCACCTCCCTCCACATCCTGTACCTTCTCATCTCCTTCCGCGCTCTGTACCTTCTCACCTCCCTCCACATCCTGTACCTTCTCATCCTCCTTCTCATCTCCTTGTTTGTACCTTCTCACCTCCCTCCACATCCTGTACCTTCTCACCACCCTTCCATCCTGTACCTTTCTCATCTCCTTCGCGCTCTGTACCTTCCTCACCTCCCTCCACATCCTGTACCTTCTCACCTCCTTCCGCGCTCTGTACCTTCTCACCTCCCCTCCACATCCTGTACCTTCTCATCTCCTTCCACATCCTGAAACCTTCTCATCTCCCTCCACATCCTGTACCTTCTCACCTCCCTCCACATCCTGTACCTTTCACCTCCTTCCGCTCTGTACCTTCTCCTCCCTCCTGATCCTGTACCTTCTCCTCCTTCCCTTCTGTGCCTTCTCACCACCCTCCACATCCTGTACCTTCTCATCTCCCTCCACATCCTGTACCTTCTCACCTCCTTCCCCAAGGCTCTGTACCTTCTCATCTCCTTCCCAGCTCTGTACCTTCTCACCTCCCTTCCCATCCTGTACCTTTCTCATCTCCTTCTTGCGCTCTGTGCCTTCTCACCTCCCTCCACATCCTGTACCTTCTCATCTCCTCCTTCTGTATATTTCTCTCACCTCCCTTCCTCTGTACACCTCATCTCCTTCATCCTGTACCTTCTCACCTCCCTCCACATCCTGTACCTTCTCATCTCCTTCCGCGCTCTGTACCTTCTCACCTCCCTCCACATCCTGTACCTTCTCACCTCCTTCCGCGCTCTGTACCTTCTCATCTCCTTCCGCGCTCTGTACCTTCTCACCTCCCTCCACATCCTGTACCTTCTCACCTCCTTCCGCGCTCTGTACCTTCTCACCTCCCTCCACATCCTGTACCTTCTCATCTCCTTCCGCGCTCTGTGCCTTCTCATCTCCTTCCACATCCTGTATCTTATTTTCTTCCATATCCTGTCCAATCTTTGATACTGTGTATGTTTTTATCAATATTTTAAACAAAAAATAGTTTCTTTTTTTTTTTTTTTCTCCCTTTTAATATTAAAACTTATTCTTATCTCACATTTTCCTTCTTCCTCTTCTTCTCATTTTCCATTTTTCTGCTTTTCTTTTTTGAATCTTATTTCTTTTTCTTTTTTCCCCTTTACTCATGTTTGGATAAATTAGAAATCCATTTCTCAATGTAAAATTGAACTGAACAATTCGGAATTTTTGCCCATGAAATAAATTATGGATCTTTAAGGATTTCTTATTCATTATTATAATAATATTGCTCTGTTCTTACATTGAGCTCTTTTTGGACTAATATCCTCCTTGGAATTATCCCTGCTATACATCGTTGGAGATATATTATAATTATTATCTTTTTTAAAAATAGGATTCCATCACGACACAGAAATTTCTATGTTTCAAAACTGAAAGTAAAATTGTAAATTTAATTATAAAAATTAAACTTAAAATCCAGAGTTTTTTTTTTTTTTTTTTTTTCAATTGTCAAGCAATGCTAGGAATAACTTTCTAAGAAATTTACTTAATTTATAAGCACAGACAATCTTAATATTTTGAGTTGTTAAGGTTAAGGAAAATTCAATCTATTTTGATTAGGGGTGGTTAGGTATTAATTTCCCTAGACAACTTGTGTATCAAATATATGTTACTTACAAAGTCAGTTTAAGTTTAGGTGGGTTGGTGGTGGTGCCTGCTCACAAACATAGGTATCTGTTATTCAGTGTGTCATCTGGGTTTTCAATGACAAAAAAATTTTGACATTTTTATTTATCTGCTTAATTCATATTTTTATACACAAAGGTTTTCTAAAAGGGTCATTAGCTATAGCTTGTAGGTCATTAAATGATCCATGTCCTTTGTGCATACATGAAAAATTATACATTATTAAATTTCTGAAAAATAAAAATTTATTAAATCAAAGAAATGAAATAGCTATTTTTTGTAGGCACTGTTAAATATTTTCCTTAAATAATAATTAATTTTGACAAAAAAATTAAGAGAGATGACATACATATTTATACTTGATCATTAATTAATGATATTTTTAAATATAAAATTAAATTCTAATATATTTATTTGTAATAATATTGTATAGTCTATTAATTATTAGTAGGTCGAATGGTATTAGGTTGTCCCATAAGTTCTGTCCAAATTTTACCTTTTTTTAAAATGAACGAAATTTAAAGAGTATTTTATAATGTCTAATGGATCTGAACATTATTTTTATGTTTAGATGCATTTAAACTGATCAAATTTTATTTCAGAGAACAATAAAAATTAAATTTTGTTTGATTAAAACCCTGCTAACATGGAAGTACTCAAGAATCAATTGAGGCACATAATGCTTTATGAGTTCAAGAAAGGAAACTCAGCAGCCGAAGCGGCTAGAAACATTCACTCAGTTTATGGAGAGGAATGTATGAATGAAAGAACTTGCAGAAGATGGTTTGCAAAATTCAGAGGTGAAGATTTCACCTTTGAAGATGAAGATCGAACCGGACATCCAGTTGAGTTTGATGAAAAGCTTCTTGAAGCAGCCCTTGAAGAAAATCCTGCTTTATCAGTTGAGGAATTGGCAGTGTTTCTCAGTTCAAACCATGCAACTGTTCGTCATCTTCAACAACTTGGAAAAATTCCTAAACTTGGAAAATGGGTGCCTCATGAATTGTCTGAAAACAACCTCAAATCCCGAGTTGACATCTGCTCCTCTCTCTGTTCTTGCCAACTTATTTCACCTTTTTTGGATAGACTTGTGACTGGTGATGAAAAATGGACCTTTTATCGAAATGTTAAGCGTCGTAGACAGTGGCTTGGTAAAGGGGAAGGACCCCAGCCACAACCGAGAAGGGAACTTCATGGGCAAAAGGTTCTTCTTTCAATCTGGTGGGATCGCCAAGGAATAATCCACTTTGAATTCTTACCACCTAATGCAACAATTAATGCTCAAATATACTGTCAGCAATTAGAGTGTTTGAACCAAGCTTTGAGGAAAAAAAGACATGCTCTAGTGAATCGAAAAGAGGTGATGTTTCATCAGGACAATGAGTGACCCCACACAGCAAGAATCACGTCACAAAAGATCGAAGGAAAATTCCTCATCCACCTTATTCTCCTGATCTTGCTCCTTCAGGTACCATTTGTTTCATAGCTTACAGAATCATTTGGAAGAAACAGCTTTTGTAACACAGGAAGAGGTTAAAACTGACATTTGAGAAAGCCAAAAGAATTTTACAGTAATGGAATTAGTAAGCTTGTTAATAGAAATATTAAAAATATGATTTACTCGTATTTAGATGACCCTTTTAGAAAATCTTTGTGTATAAAAATATGAATTAAGCAGATAAAATGAATCATTTGGATACTTAACATGAAAACAACTTTTGTCTTGTAGATTTTGTTTGCAGGATATCTGGTAAACCATGTCAAAATAAAAGAATTCATTAAATTGTCTTACATATTTATCATATATGTCTGTGTGATTTGGGTGTAAAATCATAGATGGTAGGTGAACCCAGAATAGATTCAGATGTCATAATTGTTACCTTTTCAAAGCTTATATGTAAGCATGCAAAACCTCTTCCTGTATAGGTTTCAGACACAGAGAGTTGTTCTCTTGAAGCTTAATCAGTTTTGGGGCCTATAATAGTATTTTTTGCAAGGGTGGGATACAGTCCCCACCTTGCAAAAAACTTCTTTTGATATTGCTTGAAATAGGTAAAGATGCAGTTCCTGAGTTCAATCCTGGTAACCTTCATTATTCAACAGCATAGACCTGCAATTATCATTTGTTTTGCTTAAATGTTTTAAAAGATTTTTCATTTTTTTTTTCTCTTACAGAGCAGAACAAAAGATGTTGCATTAATGTTTAATGTTACATTTGAATAGAAAATTATATAAGCTTGTCTTATTTTTCAGTTGATTTCCCAATCCATGTGCGAATTGATTTGCTGATAAAAATGGCTGAGGCAGAGTAAGTAGATATGTAGATATACAATGCAGCCCTCACCCAGGCTATCAGCCCGTGGTTACCCCACATTAAATTCCAATTCTCAATCTTGTTGGTGTGCACCAAAAACTAGGGAAGGACCTGTTGCAAGGTAACATGATGAAAATCAAATGCCATGTCAAGAATGCGAACTTTCTATATGTAGATGTTTTATTCACAGTTTCACCTGCTCATCCAGGTAGGTTTAGGTGGGTGGGATGATACTTGGGATATCTATGTCAGCTCTTTCACCCCACCACACATAATCCTCGCTCATCTACATATCCCGAGAGGTGGCTGGCAATACAATATGGAAGATTCAGAACTATGCAAAAGACATGTCCATCTCCTGACAGAACTCCTCCTGTCCTAAACATGACTTTTAATATAGACAACCACTCAGATGTGTCCTATTTCTGGTTTTGTAGCTACATGATCTCCCAAAAATCCCTCAATGCACCCCTTCACTTCCGATTCACCTTCAGTCAAAGTGGATCTCACTTAGTAGGCCGAACTTCAAAAGGAACAATCTGTTGGTCTATTAAACACCTGAGATTGAGATAAAACCATCTTTTCCTTTTCTATGTGGGTTTCCATAGTATCACAGATAGACTTGAGAATTTCTTCCTAATTACTGTATCTCTCAGCATTATAAGACATACTTTTTTTTTTTGTTTAAACTTCTTCCCAAAATCAACTTTGCCCTGATGGTTTGTATTATTTCAAAATAATGTTCTCATCTTGGTTGAGATAGCCACAATGTTTCGACCAAGTATCCTCTGGTCATCATTTTTTTTTTTTTTTTTTTTCCCCAACTCTTGTTTCCTTGTGAATGTTCAGTGGATGCTTCCCAGTTTTTGATGCACACTGATGCGAATGAAAATGAAGAGGCAACGTGGGGTAATTGGCCGGTTGGTGGGGAACCTGGGAATTGGGTTCTGTTGCATGTTTTTCAGTTTAAGTAAATGTCGAGCATTCTCATTCATTTGAAACAAAATACTTTTTCTGGTGATGCTGTTTTATTGGTGAATCATGTTAAAGTAAAAATTTTCAAAATTGTCTTTCCTGAAACTAGCATAGAGAGTTATCATATAATGGTTTTGTTGGATGCACTGTGAAATAATGGATAGTGGCTCAAGCTGAGGAATCAGAGTGCCAAGTTCAAATTCCAATTGAATTTATTACAATCACCTACATGCAAATACCCTTGGGAAAGGTATGAATCCATCTTTTCTCCCCTCACTCCCACCTATGGGTATATAGCAAAATAGATTGGGTTCTATTGTCTAGGACAAGGATGGCCAATCTGTGGCACATGCGCCATAAGTGGCACATTGCGTCCTTTTGATGAAAAGAAACTAAGCCACTTCTACTTATTCATTTCAGTGATTTTATATTTGTTGCACGTCCTTTGCGAAAGTGCTAAAAGGATACGCCTCTGGTCATAAGCATATATTTTTCAAATAAATAGATTTTATTATAACTTAAAAATATGTCCATATTACAACACGTACTGAAAGGAAGTGAATGTTTGTGTGGAGCATTTAAATTAATCGTACAAAATATTGGCACATGGAATCAAAAGGTTGGCCACCCCTGGTCTAGGAGAAGGACAACTCAATTCAAAACCTCCGACAATGGGTTAAAAAACCTCACCAACTTGCAATTGGCCAAATATGGTGAGTGCAGCTACAGTCCTGAAGACATGGTTAATCGGGGAGTGGTTCCTCCAACGGGAGTGAGAAAGCTCTAAATCTGGATTTGATCTAATGAGCTTCTATCCCTGCTACCTTATAAAATGTGCTATTTCCAAGAAAAAGTAAAATGTAATGCCCTGCATTCATTTGGATCTTGATGGTATGGCTGAGTTGGGGGTGGGGAGTATGTAGTCTGGGCAGCTCATGACCTCCCATATACCAACACCAGTTGACGGGTGGGAAAACCTTGATTTTAAACCTCCACTGCCTTGTAGTCATTTCAAAACACGGTAAAGGTTATGGAAGTAAATCCAGACAGAAAAACTGGAGTGGAGCCCCAAAGGCGGTTGGCTATCAATACTGACAACTTTCCAGCAACTCCTGCAGCCAAGCCGTCTCCAAACGTATTGTCCTGTATTCATTTGGATCTTGTCAGTATGGCTGAGGGGGCGGGGAAGTAGTCTGGACAGTGCATGACCTACATATACCATTGCTCATCTCGGAAAAAGAAAATTCTGAATTTAAACCACTGCTGCCTTGTAGGTCTTGTCTCTTTAATTTCTGGGAAGTTAGGGCAGGATAACCTGAACATGCCCAGTGCAAGGACAGACTGGGTCCTATATCCTTGCTTGGCAACCGGTCAAGAAGGACAACTCTGAATTCAAAACCTCTAACTATGGGTTAAAAAACCTCACCAACCGGCAATTGGCCAAATGTTGTGAGTACAGCTACAGCCCTGAAGACATGGTTAATTGGGGAGTGGTTCCTCCAACAAGAGTGAGTAGATCTTGGAATTGCATGTTTTTTGGAGGCTTTGCTGCTCTTTTGTACTTGTATGAAATTCTTTATATATAATATCTGTTTATAGATTCCAATTTATACACCCTTTCTTTACATTATTCGAACTGTTGTCCTCATCTATATTGCCATATTCACTATTTTTCAGCTATTGTACACTCCGACCTTCTCCAGGTGATTGGAATTTTGAATTGAACCCTTTATTTCGTTCACAGGTGTAGATTGTTCTAGTTTCATGTGCCATGTCTCTTCCAGATATCTCATTTATCTCCCTTTAACTTAACTCTTAAAATTTTTGTTCACCACTGCAGTAGCTAAGTATTGAACTCTCACAATGCTTTGGATGAAGTCGCTGGATCCAACTAACACTTTTATCCACTGGGTCATGTCTCTTTGCAGTGAGTTGAGTTAAAGGGAGATAATTGAGACATCCAGAAGAGGCATAACACATGGAAATATAACAGTCTGCCCCAGTGGATGAAATAAAGAGTTTGGTTCAAAATTCCAATCACCTGGAGAAGGCCAGAGCGTACAAGGGCTGAAATGTTGTGAATATGGCAATAAAGATGAGGACAACAATGTAAATAATTACAATACCTCATCTCAGAAATATAGACAAACACACCCTTTCTTCTTTTTTTTTTTTTTTTTTTTTTTTTTTTTTTTTTTTTTTTTTTTTTTTTTTTTTTTTTTTTTTTTTTTTTTTTTTTTTTTTTTTTTTTTTTTTCTTGTGCATTTTAAGCTTCACTTACGTTATTTTCCTTCTACATTTTAGATTTCGTCTTATGTCAGGCACAAATGAAAAGATCCAGCTCGGTTCATTGGTCTCTGCCTTCCAAATTGCCAGAGATTTAACAGTCAAAGAAGCATCTTAAGTACTTTCTCCATGTTGAATTTTTCTGTCACTGAAAATGTTTATTATTTTCAATTTCTCTCTCTCTTTCTCCTGCACTAAAAATGTTGACAACTTTTTATACAGTAATAATAAAAAAAAAAAAAAAAAAAAAATTTATCCCTCTTAAAACCCGAGATTTGGTTTTGTCTTTTACAGTGCATCATTTTCATTCATTAAATTTTGTGCTATGTTGTTTCACATAACTTTATCTCGACCTGTGGACATGTCTTTACAAAACTTATATTGTCTGCTGTTCACACACACACACACACACACACACAGTTAAATTTCCCAAAATAATTCTGTGGATAAGACAAATTGGTATAAAAATGACAATTGGGAAAAATCTTAGTGTTTGTCGAAGTGTTTCATCTTCCAATTTTATCAAGGCAAACAATGAAAGTGAAATGTTTTGTTGTCATAGTTACATTAAATCCAGAATTTAAAAAAGAGAGGCACTCATGCGTAAGCTTCTTTCTGGATAATGGTAACTTCCTTTTTACTAAGAGTTTGTCTTTTGTTTTCCATGTCAACAATATAGTCATATATTCTATACCAATTTGTCTTATCGACAGAATTATTCTGGGAAATTTAACTATATCAATGATGTAGAATGGAAGGTAAAGAGATGTTTCACATCAGAAGTAGCATTGTGTTGCATGCATGGTTTTATTTAACTTTATTTATTTTGGATCTTGACCAGATCCAATTCAATGTCTGTTGAACTGTAGCTTGGAGATGAGAAGCACGCTTTAAGTTCCGCCCAGTGATGCTCACCTTCAAAAGGAAGGAAACAATTGGCCATCCAAGGAATCCATGGCACCCGATCTCAATACGTAGGCTATGACATGTCTGATTTTTTTTTTTTTTTTTTTTTTCATTTAAAAAAAAAAAAAAACACCACACCAATTAACACAGATCTATCTAAACTGCCATTGCCCCTATGGATGCGAAGGCAAAAAACCACTAACACTTCAATATCATTTTACAACAACTATTACTACTACTACTACTCCAGTTACCAATATTACCATCATCACCGTATGTGCCTTCCGAAAAATAACTACTATTATTATCACTTCATACCCTCCCCAACAACATTAGTACTGCTTTATACCATTGTGTTGTTATTATTGTCATTATGTATTGATTACCACTTCAATTATTATTTATTTTATTTTTTATCCCTTCCATAATCATCATCACTATTATCACTAATTTATTACCATTTCCACTTTATCCTTATTTATTATTTACAACTGCTATTATTATTATTACCATTGTCATTGTCATTATTACCACTTCAATTAATTCCCTTCTTAATCTATCATTATTTATTATTAGTTATTATTACTATTATTATCATAATTATTTTACTACCATTGTTATCATTATTTTTCATTACTACTAATATCACTATTGTTATCAGGGTGGTTTTCGACTCTGAAGAATTCTTAAAAGTCTTGTTTTATTGCCCAATGCAAATTTAGAAGTGACTTCTACAGGCCAAAAGTTGAAACAACCTGCATCTACACAGCACTGGACAATAAAACAAGACCTTTAAAAATTCTTCACAGTCGGACCCAACCCGATTTCTTGGTGATTATTAATGTGTCTTGATTGTGTTTGTATATCGCCAACAAAAACTTTTTGGAAAAGCATCGGTCGAAAGGATCCTAAAGGTATTTAAAAAAAAATAAAAAATAAATGTTTATTTTGTTCAAATCTATGTTTTATTTCTCTGGGTACAAGTCCTTGTTTTTATATATATATATATATATATATATATATAGAGAGAGAGAGAAAGAGAGAGACACAGACACACATTTTCAAGACACTGAAATGTCAGTCCCTAGCATCTGTGTTATTTCCAAATCAGCATAGACATACCAGCATGCAATATTACCGGTTTTGTTTTTAATTTTTATTATGTTGGAGTTGTTGTTTAACTTAGTCTGTATGTTAGAGTATTTGACTGAAACCAAACTGATGTCAACCATGAAAAAGCGTCATCAGCCTCTGTATAGTTGTTTATTTCCAGTACCTGGCAATTTCCTAAAAATTCTCAAAATGGGCCAGCATAGCCAGGCAGCAATGCTATAACAATGCAGCAGTCAAAGTGCTAAACACCTGAAACTAGCTGACACAATACATTGGTGAGAAATTTCTCTGTTCACAGTGTTTGATGGGCTACCTCGCACATTGTACAAGACCTCTAACAACTAATGTTGCACAGTTTAATTTTCTCACCTTGATAATGAATTTTAATTCACAAAGTGGTCATGTTTATATGCCCTTATGAATTTGTAATATGCTGAGGAACTTGATTTATTTGCAAGTTCAAGGTTTTCTTATTTTGGCAGTAAATCATTCCTTGAAGACAGTTTATAGCTCTAAATGAAGAGCAAGTAAATGTTCTGGTGAAGCTTATGGGATATTGTAGTGGTATGATGTCACATACTGACATATCAGCATTTAGGAACCTCAGAGCAAAATTGTCCTAAAATAAACAAAAAATAATATCTCGCCTGAGGGACAAGAAAAATATCCCAGTCCTAAGTGTAATAAATTGAAATACAGATTATACTTTATCCAAAATTCCAAAGTTTTACAGATACTGACATGTCACAAATGGAAAATCTCAGAAAACAAGATGGCTACCCGTAGAGTGATTATTGCATTGCAATTTTACAAATAAAATGCTGACATTTATTCAGTTTTCATTACATTTAACTAATCAGGATCTGTTTTGTTTTTCTACAAATACTGTACCGTTTTAATCAAAACTCATCATTGTTGGTAGAGACTGATAGCTTACTGAATTTTCCTTCTCACACTCACAATGATGTCATCTGTGACGTACCCTCTCCCTCCAGTTTCTTACACCTGATTTAGAAGTAGTGTTTGCTGTTGCATTTATATATTTTTTGTAAGTAGGGATCATGTTTTTTGTACATATACAGAAAGTACTGTAGTGAAGAGAATGGTGAATTACCTCGTCAAACCAAGTGACAGCATGTCACATGCATTCTATGATGGAAAATGTGGTGAGAAAGAAAGTTACTTACCGAGAAAAGGGCACATATTCTGCATATGCCAAAAATGGAATGCCCAAATTAGAAACCAGTCAATCATAGGTGTTGCCATAAATGTATCTCGAATATGATAGTGTGCGCCCTCTCCCACTTGTTGACCAATGAAAAAATTGTTCCGTCGATAAAAGCAGTTGGTGTTCACGAATTGGGGAGAGAAAACAAATTTGTTTATTTTGCTACCTTGTCCATCAGCAGTGTGTTGGATTACTGACTGTTTACATGTATTAGGATTTGTAGTATAGGACCTGCAAATTGAGATTTCAACATTTCTTTCTGTGCCTGGATCTTTGAGTCTGGACTTGAGATTTTTTTTCTTCATTGTGGAAGTAATCTGCCACATCAAGTCCTGAACAGGAATTTTATTCCAAGCATAATGAACTTGACAAATACAAAACATTATTTTTGCGTGAAATCCTAATTTCGCCACTTAAATATCCATGTGAGGATTACATGACTGGTGTCATTATCTGTGTGTATACAAAATTTATTAAATTTTATATAAAATTACCTTAAGGGTTTATGTAGGACCTGTGTTATGAAATGTAAAGGGATATTGTGTTTTTGCTTGGGTTCAATTCCCAAGCTGCCCAATTTTATAGATGCTATATACAAATTAAATCACCTGAAGAGGTGAGTAGGAATAAAAACAAAATAAATTAAAGGATGTAGAATTAATTGAAATATAAAAAAAAAAATAGGTAAACTTGACCTTTGTGCCTGCAAAACAAGGGTGTGTCAAAAGGACAGTTTTCTAATTGACATCGCTATTATCTTAACTATCTTCACTCCTCAGCAATGTTTGTTTTAAAAAGTGATGATTAGAATTGTATTAAAGCCGAAACATGATGAAAGTGAATTTATACATTATAAATTCAATTCACAACAAAAATAATAAACACTATTATATTATTTATTGGGATGGTTGGCAAAACATCGGCTGATTACAAATTGATTCCAACTTTATAAAATGGTAAATAATAAGGATTTCCTGGTTCCCATATTTTAATAATTTAGCAAATGTTTATAAATTTATGAATAAAAAATTGTTTTCAGATTTATTTCTTTATAAATTGGTAAATGATAAATATTGCATTGCATTAGTTTTAATTGTATCAGTTTTTAGAATGTTGTAAATATGAAATTATTTTTGTAAATAAACAACCTAATAAATAAATAGTGTTTAATATTTAAAAAAATGTATAAATCCATTTTTCAACGTATGTTTAGGTTTTATTCAACACGTGTTTAGGTTTTATTAGAATTCTAATCCTTGCTTCTTAAAACAATAACCAAGAATGAAGGTAGTTAAAATAATATTGGAGTTAATGGAAAAATGTCCTTTGGACACTTTGTTTTTTATTTTTTATTGTTTTTTTTTGTTTTTTTGTGGGCATGAAGGATCAAGTTTGCCAAAAACATTTATCAAAACAAATTTATTATTTTTTTCTCTTGTTTACTTTTCGTTTCTTTCTTTTTTAATCTGGTATAATGCTCTACCAGTGGTGGGATCAAAGTGATTGCTAAATTTACAGAATTTGCAAGAATCAGATCCTGAATGGGTGTAAAATTAAAATATTCCCTTATTTAAGCTATTCTTTCTATTGCATAGAATTGCTTCTTCAACAGGACATTTGTCCTGAATTATCATTAACAAAGGTTCAAGTTCTAATCTAGGGTTGTAGGACAATTTTTTTGAGACTTGTGTGTGTTTGATGGAGGAATATTTGTGCAGACTGGTGATGCAAGTTTAAGTTTTGTCAGAAGATTAGTCCAAAACTTAAGCCTATTTCAAGCATGAAGTGAGTATCAGATATTTTTTTATTGTGTAGCTTATAAGCATTTACAAGGCTCAGATTAGTCCAAAAATTAAGCCCATTTCAAGCAT